GCTGGAGGTGCCCGTTGTGAATAAAGCGGTTGGTAACTTGGGGAACACAGCTGCCTAGAGATGCGCGACAGCCTGGGACCCAGACCTGGGCGAGGGCGCCACGTCGGCTACTCGGGCCTCGAGGAAGGGATGTTTCCCGGTCTCCGCAGGTACAAATAGGACGCTTACTCCTTCCTTCCAAGGGTAGTGATTGCCCAAGAGAGCACGTCGCCCTTCCCAACCTTTCTCATTTGAATACATGAAAATGCGAGTTGATTTTGGCAAAGAGATGCTAGCTCAAGGCCAGAGAGACGGTTTTGTCGCCCGAAGGCAAGGCCGGGTAGGGAACAGCTCCGGCTCCGACATCCGGCTGCGGGCCAGCCTGGCCTGAGCCCCAGGCCGCTCAGAAACCCGGCGGCGGCTCCAGGAGCAGTGAAGGAGAGGACAAACCCAGAGATAAAGAATTGGGATTAAACTATTACATTAGAATTTTTTTTTTTTTTTTTTATTTTCAGTACAAACACTGGGCCAGGGCGTGGCCCGGAACCTGAGATTTCTCCGCCCGAAACTGCCGGGCAAGGCGGGTTAGGTGGTCTCAGGGCCCCTACCTCCTGAGGGTCGGACACTTTGTGAGTTGTGAATTAATGTCTTGATTAATAATGTAACGATCGAAGGAAAGGCAGAGGAAGGAAGATCTGAGAAAAGAAAGCAAAGAAAAAGAAGAGAGGCCGTGAAAGAACGGGAGCTCGACGTGTCGTGTCCCCTGGCCCCCTGGCCGCAGTGCGCCCCTAAGTCTAGGGCTGCCGCGCCTCCCGAGCCGTGGGCGGGAGGCTGAAGGCCAGCGCTGGGGGCCGCCCTCTGCGGCGCCCGGGCTCCTTCCCCAGCTTGGACACACACCTCGGTTCGTGTGACACACAGTTATACGCAAGTGCAAACAGCTGCTTTCGGCGTCCCAGGCCTTCCTCAGTCCTAAACGGACCCGAGTCCCAGTTCAGGTCCGCTTTGAACCGCACGAAAGACAGCAGGTCTCGGTTTCCTAGCATCTGACTCTCCCCGGAAGGCGCAGGATGTAGCTTCTAATCTGGGCGGCAGGTGCGGCTGTGGGCAGAAGGTGCTCGGACCACGCTGGGCCCCGAGGGCGGCTGGGCCCACGTCGGTGGAGACCCGGCCACAGCCCGCTGGGGCGAGGGAGGCCGGCGGAGAGAGGGGACAGACTAGGGAGACGCCCATGGGGAAGTCCTCGGGAGGCTCCAGAGAGCACCACAGAGCCCCACCCCCCACCCCGCGCCACTGCCCCCTGCGCACCCCGCAGTCTGGCCAAATGGGAAGGACCCCGGTGCGGCCACTGACAGCCCGCTGGGCCCAAAGCCTGAGGCGGGAGCCGCCTCTCGCCGTCTTCACCCCCTGCTTCTCCCAGCCCTGGTGAATCTCTGAGGAAGGGGATCCCAGCCAGGTCATACTGGGAAAGGGAGGCAGAGGTGGCCGAGTTTGGCGGGTGAATCTCGCACCGCCCGCCGCCACAGCCGAGACTGCGCTGGGAGCGGACCCCAAAGGCGCAGAAGGCTCAGCTTTCGGGAAGAGCGAAGCCGATTCCTCCACCCCAGGCCACCTGGACGGTCCCCGAACCACCTTTTGAGCGCTCAGGCTCCTACCGACGGAGGAGCTTGCCCTCCCCTCTACCTGGGTTGCACTTAGGTGGCGCACACCCACCCTAGCGGAACGAGCTCGGCCCGAGACGACCCAGGAGCCGCCACGTGGCTGCCCTCGAGTCCACCCAGCCTCTCAGAAAAGCACAGCACAGCCTTCTGCAAAGCGTAAAGACAGGGCCTACTTGGGAAAAGAGGCTTGTGACGAGCGGACCGCAGCAACCAGGCGTGGCACCTGGCTGCCTACTGGCCAGCAACCCGGAGACAAGAGCTTTATTTATTTGCTTGTTTGTTGTTCATTTTCTAAATCAAAGACGCGGCATGGCCCTGAAGATTTGCTTTTAAAACTCTGGGAAATGACTGGCTGGCATCTGAATACACTAGAATTTCACTTCCTAAATTTGTTAGGTGTCTTGGAATATCGCCACTGAGATGAAGAAAGGCTGAGAGCTAAGCGAGCTGCCTTCTTGGCCTCAGGCAGTCGGCTCCATGAACTAAAATCTCAGGCTAAGGGAGGCATGCGGAGCTCCAGATAGAGCCCCCTGGCTGTGCTCGCCGGGGGTGCCTGAGGGAGGATTCAGCGCCCCCCACTCCTCCAGCACTACAGGAGCAGCTGTGACCAGGGTAATTCCTCCGGGAGCGACCCAGCAACTCTCAAGATGGATCAAGGCTCTACAGTTGTCAAAGTCCACTCTTCACCACCAGCCTTGGGCTTTGAAGAAGCCCTGGAAAAACTTTGCTTTGGACATCCCTCTACAGGCTTCTTTTCTCGACTTTTTTTTTTTTTTTTTTTTTTAGATGAGCTCTGGTAGGTTTAGAAAGTGGGCTAAAAATGAAAGAATATTTGATTTTTTAATTGACTCCCCTATAAAATAACAGCACTACCCCCACTTCTTAAAGCACGGGCTTTTTTGTGTACGAAAGCTATTACTAGGTTGTTACTACCCATAGAAAATACCCTAGTCATGCTCGATGTTGTTGAAGAGCCAAGAGGGCGTTGGAGGATCACTGCGGGAAGGAACAAGGAAGCTCATTAGCACTGAAAGTCCCCCCCTCCTCCTCCCCATCAGGCCCAGGAAGCTACGCATCCGTGTGCTTTACAAATGAAACCAAGGTCCTGCTGCTGATGGGAACTTTGCACAAAAGAATTAGTTTCTGACGGTGGCTCTGGGAAGTCTGTGCAGATCCACACATTTACAGATACATTTACACAAACTGATGGGACTTGCAGTCACAGGGGGCAGGCGGCAGTTGGAGAGGGCACCCTCTCTGAGTTCCAGGTGGATTTAATTTCACTCTCATTCCATTCCTTACAATGTGACATGCCCCCCCCTTTTGTTAAAAAACGAATTGTAATCCAATGCTTTTATCTTTTTTATTTCCTTAACTGCACATCTTCACCCTCTTGTGCTCCCCTGCTGATTTAAGAGATTTGTTTGGTTCAAGGATTTAACGTAATTCTGTTGCCAGATTTCAAGGAAGAAAGATTTGAAAGAACAAAGTACAAGGGGGAAAAGGTATCTGAAAGACAAGTTAAAACACATTTCTTAATATGAGATTAATAACATGCTTAAAACTTTGCCAAACAAGAATATTTTGTAGATTCTTAGTCATTTTAGAGAGATTTAATTTTGTTGTCGCTTCAAGAAAACTAGTGGGTTCTACCTATGGTACAGCACACACATGGTCACCCCACACATCTAGAGACACGATCACACTCATTCATAAGCTCACACATACTCAGAGTCATACATTCAGAAATAAACCCAGAAGCACACGCACCATCCTACAGCTTATCAGCAAATCAGTGACTTGTGGGCAATCCACTATCCAGGACCTTACAGGAGCCAAGAGGCTTTGCTTGAGGAAAAACTTCCCGCCAATGTCAAGGACCCATTAGGAACCAAGCAAGTGCCCAGGGTGCTAGCCTGGACCCTCTGGGACAGAGACGGGACCAGGGACCACCGCACTCCATCCCTGGCTTCAAGCCTGGCACCTCTCTAGCGGAGGAGATGCCTTCCCGCGCCTCCGTTCATGCTCTCCCAGTTAACGCGCGCACTTAGGGAGATGTCCCCTCCCCCTGACCTTTCCCTATCAGAAACCAGCCGGTCGCCTCCAGCTCAGTCCCCGGGGTTGCAGAAGGGGGGCCGGAGGAGGAGCTGGGCAGAGGAGGACGGCCCGACTCGGGTGCGCCTGCCCTATCACACAGACATCTGTTCTCAGTTTCTTCCTCTTTATGATCGCTACAGATGACAAGGGAAGTAGAGCGGACCGAGGCGGAAAAAAAAAAAAAAAGTTATGTCATAAAGATATAAAACGGTGCTGTGACTCACCTGCTCTTAGCCGCAGGTACGGGTTTCGTGGCAGCGTCTCCCCTCTGCTAGCCAGGAGCCCAGAAAGGCCTAACGTCACTCGGCTAGGTTGACTCAGATGGCCGAGTTTCTAGTGAAGGGGGCAAAAGTGGGGCTCTCTCCCTTTTCAAGCCTGAAATCAGGGGAGTGGGGGTGGTCTGTATTCTCCAGTCTCCCAGGGTTGAACTTTGGGTCAGTAGTCAGGACGGTGGGGGCTGGAAGCGGGCAGAACAGTAGGAGGGGCGCGGGACGGGGCTGAAGCGGGAGGCCCCAAGGAAGGCGGTGGGTCCCCCTGGGGAGGCACCCTGGGGTCACTTAGCTGGCACTGCCCGGCGAGCCGGGGCTCCAACGCCACAGCCCCCAGCCCTTCTCCCAGCTGCGTTGTTCCTATCCAGAACCCTCGTTAGCCTGCCCAGCCCCGCCTATTTTTCTTTTTTCCTCTTTCAAAGGGGTTTACCCCCCCCCACCCCATTTCCCTCTTCCCCCAGCCTCCGGGTTTAAACCAATTACGCTGCTTTGCAAACAAAGTGAGGGCCGGGTTTGAGGGAGGGGGCTTGGCGGGCGGGGGCGCAGGGGGCGCGCGGTGGCGGCGCCGCTGGGCGGGAGGCGCAGCGGCTGGACTGGCGGGCGGTCGCCTCGCAGGTGCACCTCGGGCTTTGTAGGTGCGAGCGTCTTTGTGCGGCGGACAAATGGGGAGAGGACGAGGAGGTGGGCACTCGAGCGACGTAAGATCCACATCAGCTCAACTGCACTCGTCTCGCAGAGGCCGTGCGCTCACTTCCCGCGGAGGCGCTCCCGGGCGCCGCGCTCCGCGGCCGCCGCCTGCCCCCGCCCGCCGCGCCGCCTCCGCCGCGCACGCCGCGCCCCGCAGCGCCCGGCTTCCTCCTCGCTAGGGTGGCGTTGGGCTGGCGCGGGCGCTCCGGTGACTGCAGCCGCTTAGCTCCCCGCCCCCCGCCCTGCGCCGCGCGGCTGCCCGTCGCTTCGCACAGGGCTGGATGGTTGCATCGGGCAGGGTGGCTCCAGGATGTTAGGGACTGTGAAGATGGAAGGGCATGAGAGCAGCGACTGGAACAGCTATTACACGGACACACAGGAGGTGAGAGGTGGGCGGCACGCGGGACGCTCCCGGAGCCCCTGTCGGGGGACGCCCGGCAGGGTGGGCGGCTGGCGGGCTGGGGGCGCCTCCTCCGTGCCATCGCTGCCTGCCCCCCCCGCCCCCCTCCCCTTCCCCGATGTGATCCCGGCCAGGCCTTGGGCGGGCCTTGGAGCCAGATCCGCTGCCCCGCAGAGTAGGCTGGATCCCGGCGCTCGGCGCTTGGAGCGGGCCATAGGGTTTTAGGAAACTCTTGGGCTTTGAAAGCAACCTCTGGGGAAAGCACTTGCCTCTTTTCTGTGGAGAGCGGGAGCCGGAACCAGGCCCGGGGTGCCACGGGTTGGAGCGCGGGCGCCGGCACGAGTTGGTGGCAACTTTAGGAAAGACAGAGCTTGCCTGGAGGGCGGCCTCTTCCACCCACGGTTGAATTTGAAGATGTCTTTAGATGAAAGAACGTTGCAGTTAAGTTGAGATTCTTAATAATGAAACGATTCCGAAATTTTATAAAACTTCTTTAAAAGCCCTGTTTGGGGAGAAGTGTGCTTATTCTACTGTAGAACCGCTGGGTGGCGCTGGTGCGAACTGACTTTTCCTCTAGCACGGCGAACCGAGAACCTGTTTCTCTTCATTGTCCCCTCGGTGGCACGTTCATGTGGTTTATTTTACAATGTGCACAAAGGGATTGTGAGGAAAACCAGGTACAGGCAGGACCACCATCTACTAAAAGCATTTCTCTGGAAACAGCTAGCAATTACCCCCCAAAAGTTCACCATTATTAAAAACACTTATTGGAATTGCCTGGGATGATCTTGGGGAGAAGAAAAAAAAAAGAAAGTAAAAAATACTTTAAGATATGGGCAGAAAAGATGTTGAATTAGGAAATATTTTTATGGTAATTGTTTTATTTAGATTTGTGTATTTATATATTTACAAACTTAGCTTGAGTTTATTTGCATACCACAGCAGTGTTAAATCTGTACACCTTTTATGTTTTCAAATGAAATTGTATTTGCTGATGAAAAAATTTAAGTATATTATTTTTATTAAATTGTCAGAGAAGTTTTTGTGTTTTTGACTTTATACTTTTAACATATATAGAGCATTCCCATATTGCTGTTGATAAGGGTTTTCTCCTACTGTTGATTTAAAAATGAGCTAAGAGCTCTTCCTCGGGTTTAATTCAAGGCAGTCATCTTGACCCACTAGTCAATGAAGCCTTATGGAAAGAGCTTCCTTATAGGTTAAAACAGAGAACTGGGAAATAGAATAGCATTAAGAGAAGATAAGTAGACTTTGATTTACAAATTTAAAGTGGGATTTTAAAACCAGGCTTTGAAATGATCCGCGGCAACATATCAGTATGTGAAACAAAATAGATTATATGGACAAATTGTGTCACCAAAATTTTTAATGTTATGGGGTTGAATATAGGTAACGAAATTGATGCAAGTTTTTGAGTGGCTTATAGAGATGTACATGTAAAGTCATGTTAAAGTTGAGTGTAGTGCATTGGTATTATTATGCATCCCTTCCTGCCCTTTCTCTTCTTGTACATCTATTTTTAATTTCCCCCCAAACTTACTTAACTTGAGTTTCTTTCCCTTTTAATGTTACAGTTGCTACAAGAAGATAGGAAACACTACTTGTAAATATTATAACAGAAAGTCACCATTTGGAGAAAACTGCTAAGGCGGTAAAGCCAGGTGTTGAGAAATGTATGGTCAAACGGCCATGAATGATTAGTCCTATCAGGGAGAGTTTAATTAATAGCCACCCCGCACAGCAGAGGCTACTCCGCGGTCAGCTGGGCCTGGCAGGCTCAGGCGAGATAGGCACAGAGCTGGTGTTTTGCTGCCCACCCCGGGGCTGCACCGCCGAAGCCACCGCAGTCAGACAGGAATTTTGTTTTCTCTAGTTTAAATTCCTTTTAACCAGAAGGGCTTTGCTGAGGCCGAGCTGGGGTGGAAACTAGGATACCAACTGGCGTGGATGGAGTAGGCGATGGAGGGACCCCAGAAGCCCGCCCCTGGGCCTATCCTGTAGGGCGGTTACACATCTTCCTGGGGACACGTTTTCTGTGAGCGCTTCACTTTCATGCCTGCCGCGATAGGATTTTTCCCCTACCGCGCAAGACATTCTGGGGAGGGCGCCTGACGGTTTGCCCCGGGAGGGGGGTCCTATGCTTTGCAGAAATGCTCTCTGCACGTCTCCGGGTTTGCCCCTGGCGGGTCGGCCTCCCGCGCCCACCACTAACCCCGCCCTTTGGGGCCTCTTCACTTGCTCTCTCCGCTGCAGGCCTACTCCTCCGTCCCCGTCAGCAACATGAACTCGGGCCTGGGCTCTATGAACTCCATGAACACCTACATGACCATGAACACCATGACTACCAGCGGGAACATGACCCCAGCTTCGTTCAACATGTCCTACGCAAACCCGGGCCTGGGCGCTGGCCTGAGCCCGGGCGCGGTAGCTGGCATGCCAGGAGGCTCCACGGGCGCCATGAACAGCATGACGGCTGCAGGCGTGACGGCCATGGGGACAACGCTGAGCCCCGGCGGCATGGGCGCCATGGGCGCGCAGCCCGCGGCCTCCATGAACGGCCTGGGCCCCTACGCCGCTGCCATGAACCCGTGCATGAGCCCCATGGCATACGCGCCGTCCAACTTGGGCCGCAGCCGGGCGAGTGGCGGCGGCGACGCCAAGACTTTCAAGCGCAGCTACCCGCACGCCAAGCCGCCCTACTCGTACATCTCACTCATCACCATGGCCATCCAGCAGGCGCCCAGCAAGATGCTCACGCTCAGCGAGATCTACCAGTGGATCATGGACCTCTTCCCTTATTACCGGCAGAATCAGCAACGTTGGCAGAACTCCATCCGGCACTCGCTATCCTTCAACGACTGCTTCGTCAAAGTGGCGCGATCCCCGGACAAGCCCGGCAAGGGCTCTTACTGGACGCTGCACCCGGACTCCGGCAACATGTTTGAGAACGGTTGTTACTTGCGCCGCCAGAAGCGCTTCAAGTGCGAGAAGCAGCCAGGGGCCGGGGGCGGAAGCGGGAGCGGGGGTGGCGGCGGCGGCGCCAAGGGCGGCCCGGAGAGCCGCAAGGACCCCTCGAGCGCCGCCAACCCCAGTGCCAATTCGCCCCTTCATCGGGGCGTGCACGGTAAAGCCGGCCAGCTAGAGGGCGCGCCGGCCCCCGGGCCGGCTGCCAGCCCCCAGACTCTGGACCACAGCGGGGCGACAGCGACAGGGGGCGCCTCGGAGTTGAAGACTCCAGCCTCCTCGGCTGCGCCCCCGATCAGCTCGGGGCCCGGGGCACTGGTTTCTGTGCCTCCCTCCCACCCGGCGCACGGCCTGGCACCCCACGAGTCGCAGCTGCACCTGAAAGGGGACCCCCACTACTCCTTCAACCACCCCTTCTCCATCAACAACCTCATGTCCTCCTCGGAGCAGCAGCACAAGCTGGACTTCAAGGCGTACGAGCAGGCACTACAGTACTCGCCCTATGGCGCTGCGTTGCCCGCCAGCCTGCCGCTCGGCAGCGCCTCGGTGGCCACCAGGAGCCCCATCGAGCCCTCAGCCCTGGAGCCAGCCTACTACCAAGGTGTGTATTCCAGACCCGTCCTAAACACTTCCTAGCTCCCTGGGACTGGGGGTTTGTCTGGCATGGCCATGCTGATAGCAAGAGAGAGAGACACAGAGAGAGAAAATCAACAGCAAACAAAACCACACATACCGAGCCGACAACAGCATAATAAAATCCCAACTATTTTTATTTCATTTGTGTGTGTGTGTGCACAATCTTCTCCCCAGTGCAAAGGACTGTTACTTTGTTATTGTATTCAAAATGCCTTGTGTATATTATTACAGAGAAAACCCATCCCAAACCAACAGATTTTTTTTTCCTGCAAAGTTTTAACGATCCACAAATGTATATATATAAAATCTTCCTACTTCCTTATTCCTGTCCTTTCCCTCTTTCCCCTCCAGACACATTCCAGTCTGTGCAGGGTTTATTTAAAAAAAAAAAGAAAAAGATGGTCAAACTTGTAAAATATTTGTTTGTGCTCCCCTCCCCCACCTGACCCTCCACAAGTTTACAGGTCTGTGGCAATACTCTTAACCATAATAACTGAAAGGGTGAAGAAACAAGTAGACACGAGGGGCTATTAAAAGTATTTGAAGGACAATACTGCTGTTATGCAGCAAAACAAACTGATTATAAACATCAGAGCCATTTGTTATTCAGCTTACATTTCTGATACATTCAGGTAGCAGGTGTCTTAAAATGGATACATATATAATATGTACGAACTTATTTATGCACATGCTCAGATATTTAGACATCCTCCATATATTTGCATAACATATAGAAGTAATAGGTAGGTGATATACACGCTACATTTTCAAGAGTTGCCTGACCAGAAGTTACAAAGACACCCTCCTCCCTTGTCCTCTCCACCCACATATAGCCCTGGGAATCAATTCCTCAAGAATTGCAATCCTCAGTAACTCTGCCCCTTGCTTTGCAGAGTGCCATTGTCATGTCATTCTGAGGTCACAGAACATGTATAAAATTAGCTTCTCTGTATCTATAACCATTTAAGTAATATTTTTTTCCAGGAAAAAGGGAATATTACATTGTTGGAGGAGAGAAACGTTATAGGGAGTGGTATTTCAAAATTTGGTCCAAGATCGCAAAATCCAATTGATTGTGGCCATTTTAATTATTGCCATCATGTGCTTGTTTCATTCAGTGTTAATGCACTTTTCACAGTTGGATATGGTGTTAGTATAGCCAGACGGGTTTCATTCTTCTTCCTCTTTGCTTTTTCAATGTTAATTTATTGCATGGTTTATTCCTTTTTTTCTTTATAGTTAAAATTACTTTAAATGATGGTTAAAATTACAAATTAAAAATGTTAATTTTATCAATGTGATTGTAATTAAAATATTTTGATTTAAATAACAAAAATGATAAATTTTAAGCCGTGGAATATGTTCTTGATCATTTGCAGTTAAGGACTTTAAATAAATCAAATGTTAACAAAAAAGTATTCCTGTTATTTTCCTTAATTAAGTCCAAAATAGGTATTCTGATTACGATATTTTCCAAAATCCAGCACTGAATATAAATGACGAAAAGGAAAACGATCTAAAACAAACTTGTTTTGTTTATGCTTATTATATGAACTTGAAGTTAGTAAAAAAGCAGTTAAAGAAATTCATTATAAGTGGGTGGATAAATTGATTTGATATTCCAAGAATTGAGGTTTTTAAGATTATTTAGTCCCTGTAATGTTTATTTCAATTTTCAAGATGAACTTAAGCCTTTTATGTTTCCTTTGAGCCTGTCCACAATGGAATCTTCTAATTCATTAATATAGCTACATTTCCCCCTTCCTCAATGTATAATTTTCCTTTATTTGAGAGGTATTCTAGGAGAATAAAATACCAGATATGGCTGATAAAATGAAGTTGTCTAAAACAGAGAATCCGGGACTCTTTTTTTCATTAAAAGAGAAACAAAACGTAACCTATCATGGTAGCTTTGGAGGCGGTGTATGGGAGGCAAGTTAATTCACTCCTGCAGGGGAAGCTTTGTGCCATCAGGACATTCCAGGGTAGCTGCTATTTTGTATTTTGTGAAGATACTTCTAAAAATACTGTTTCTAAAAATATCATTCCTGAGAACTTAAAGCTGATTTGTTCCCTTCTAAGAAGCTTTTAAATGCAACTTCACACCCCTACAGTTGCTTGAGATCACAAAATCATTAATCTCCTTTGATAGTAGGCTCACTTTCCAGTCCACCTATTTCTTTGTAAGTCTTGTTCGGATTGACATCAACAATAACAACACCAACCCAAGCAGAAGCTAGCCGGCCTGAGCCCCTATGTATGAACTCCATCCTCGCCAGGGCTTGAACTTGGACAGCTTTTACTTTGATCGCCCCACTCCACACTGCGGACAAGATAAAAAGAGCTGTGTGAGTCCCTTAATTATCGCGTAATTGCCTCCCCAGATGAGAGAAGGGGTGGCGCGTAGCACTTGAGAAAAATCCAGAAATCCAAGACCCCCCCGCCAACATACACTTCAGCTAATGAAAGGAGAGAGAAATAACTGGTTTGAATAATTTCAAAACCTAATTTAGAGGCCTCTCAGGAGGACATTAAAGTCCCAAAGAGAGGAAAAAGCCTTCAATCTCAATAGTTACTTATATTTATATAGCAGGTGAACAGAAGTTGGCAAATTCGAATTCCAAATGTAATGAGGGCGTGAGTTTGGGCCTAAGAATTTTAGCAGCCGCACTGAATCTAAATGTCTACTCGGTGATGTTCCCTTTAACAAGTTAGCAATATCAACGTTTCCCCTTCACCCATCGTGCTTAAGTCGGCCTGAGCTCTCTCTCTTACTTGGCAGAGACATTTCCTAGGCTTGCGGGGGCGAGGCGCCGCCGGCTGATCGCAGAGGCTACTTTGGAAACCTGCCTGAAAAGCTAGTACGGTGGATCTCGGGGAGCTGGTCTCGTGGGGTTCTCAGGAGATTTTCCACCACGTCTGGGCAGTAAAACACCCCCGGGCACCTTGCGCGCGCTCTGCAACGGCTTGACGAAGTGATCTGCGCCCCGCGCGTTAGATTGTGCGCGGACTGGGGCAAACGCGGCCGGTTGCCGGGGAAGGGGGACAGAGCAGGACCGCAAGCATCTCGGGGTGACAAGTGCAGTTAGTTCTTCATTGTCTGGGCATTTTCCCCTCCTAGCGAATAAATCTTCTGTTGAGCCCGAGACCTAAAAGTCAACAAAGAAGGCCAGGCGTCGCTTTACCGCTCCTGTGGCCCAACGCTCGCGTTGCCGCGGCTGCTCCCGCTGGGTAATCCCTTCCTCGGAAACCCGGACACACAAACGCCTGAACGCCCGGGGCTGGGGCGCCGCGCCCCAGGGCCAGGAGGAAAACATCTGTGGTTCCGAGGGAGTGCTGGGACCCTCCTCGAGCGCGCCCCCTTCCCGTGGCCCCCACCCGCCCCCCTTTTCGTCTTCGAGTTTCTAGATTTCTTCACCTCGGACACTCCCGTAGATGAGGGCCGGAAAAGGGATGCTGACCACTCAGCCGCGGTCCACCGGGCTCGCTTTATTTAGGAATTTCCCTCGAGATGGGGGGAGGGGTCTCCGAATGGGGAGGGAGGGAGTGAGAAGGAAAAAAAAAAAAGTTTCTACAGACCCCAGTGCAAAGCTTCGGAGGCCCTCCGACGCAGTGACGAAGCCACCACTGAGCAATTTTAGAAAAAAAGAAAAATGTTTTGGGAGTGAGTGGAGTCCTGGGGAAGAGAACTTCACGTGTAGCTTTCACCTGTTTCCAGGCCTGAAACATTTTAAAAATTGATACAAAGAGAAGACAACTGAACACAGGGATGAAGAAAAGCTCACCAGAAACTACACGACTTAGGAGTGTTCACAAGTAGAAGTCAGCTCGGTCTCTTTTCTACATGGTGGCTATTATGGTGTGTACGTCACAGAGAAAATTTAATTTCCATTGTCCCTTGTTGAACTCTTTATAGCAGAATAAGCTGGTGAGAATTATTAAGGGAGGAGGGATTAAACAAACAAAATCCTATTAAAGTTCTTAACTTCTGTTTTCATTTTCTGAAGCCTAGAATACTCAACTGATTTCACTGAAAGCATACAAAAAACATGATTTTTCTCAGGAACCTAACAGATTTGAATGAGCTATAGCCGAAAAGAGTTCCTGGAGTAGGAAAGGTAAAAATGTTGTTGTTTTAGCACTTTGAAAAATTGATCTCAATTCCACAAAAATGCTTATTAACTTTCTTTGCAAAAAACTTCTGCAATCAATACAAATTCCTTTCAATGCAGACCAAAGTAGGAGACCTGTAGCCCAAATTAATTAACCTTTCCTTAAGATCAATTGGTTTTCTGTTGATTTAGCAGTAATATTGTAGAACATTTGGCTATAATGTATTTTAATGTGATACCTCAATATGTCAAGAGGAAATACTCACTGAAAAGATAAAATTGCTTAAATTATTTAATAGATGTTTACTAAATTTGTAGAAATATTTTATTTTCAAAAATTAAATCTTAATTGCTTATTTGAATTGTAGTAAAAAGTGTTTTGCAACTAAATGGAGTTAAGATAATGTCTAATTAGTTGAGATAGTCATGTGCAAAAAGTTGATTATTTGTAAGCTACCTTGGACTAAATAGGTCATTAAATTATGCAGAAATTTAGAGATAAAATTTTCTCAAATAGAAGGAATCATTAACATCAATAGAAACTCATGAGAGTAAGAGTATAATAAAAATGAAACAATTTGGAAGATTTTACAGCCTTCTCATTTAGAAGTAGAATCTATTTGGGGAGATATAAGGTGTTTTGTTTTTTACAGCAGCCATTTCTGCAAGTTTTATTTTCTACCACTGATCCTACTTGGGGTATCCAAATAACACTTAATCGATTAAGTGTTCTGGGATTTTTCCCTCTCAAACAGTTTCATTTGTGGTTTCATTGGTGTTTCTCTCTTAGCTCCCAGTCTAGCTTGGTTCACTGGACTTTGGACAGCCCAGACAGACTGCAGCCCTCACCACTCCCCACTCTAGCCATCATTCTAGCAAGCAATATGGAGCTGGAAAACACCTACACATTTCAATTTTAACTTGTACAATGCATACATTTTCCTACTATACACATTTTTAAAAAATCTGACAAGAGGGAAATCCTCACTTGCTACCTTTCTTTCTCTAACTTTCTCATTTCTCCCAATT